TGCCCTTAGAGTTTTGGCTATTATTGAAGAAACTTTCCAGCTAGGTAATAAGGAAATCCACTGGAATTAGCTTTTTAAATGAAATTTTATGTGAAATATTTTATGACCTTAAAAGACCCCTATTGATTGTGAGATCAAAATATTAATGATTCAACACACGCACAAAAGAAATCTTGGAAAGAAGTACACAAGAAGTTCTCAACACCCCTTTTCCTCCCCTACACTTCAAATTAGTGCTTTGCCTTAAATAATTTTATAAGTACAGTATATAAACAAATTTATATGACTGCATCCTAATTTTGTTTCCATCAATAATTGTCATACGTTGGACATGGACTTACACTCATTAACAAATCGAAATCACTGAGGAAATTAATTAACAGTTTGTCAGCGTAATTTCTGCACTGAATTTTCTGAAACTCTGTAGGTATTAATTCAGACATAATGTGTAGATTTGTATATTACCAAGAAATTTTGATTCCATTATTTATCTAGAAACTTCAGCCCAATTACATTTGTAACATATAAAGAACTGAATGTCCTTATTTTCAAGAATTTTTTATGTGATGATTTTTGCAAGTAATGCCCCTTTTTGAATAAAGTGGCAAGTTGTCGAGGCAACTTAAATGGTGGCATATTTTGCTCACTAATTTTATATTATTATGTCGTCACAGCATGCATATTATAACTTCCAACTTAACGAAATGAAATATGTCGATATACAATTTATTTATGTAGACATGCAGTTAACATTCAACTTATTTTAGGCCAGTTTGTCAATAGTATGTAATGGGGGGAAGACTTCATTGATTGATTGATTGTATGTTGTTTAACGTCCCATCCGATAATTTTCACTCATATAGGACGTCACAGTATGCCGTGAAGGGCTTCAAATTTAGACCTATACTCAGCACTTAGGGCCATTGAGCAGTGAGGATTCCTTATCGTGCCAAGCCTACTGTGACACGGGACCTCCGTTTTTAAGGTCTCATCCGAAAGACCTGTGGCTTTCACTTCTAGTGCAATCGATATTATTATTTATTTATTTATTTATTATTTATACATCCTATCGCATTTCATGTATAACATATAATACAAAATATTACTTAATGGCATTGTATGGCGGTTTTTATAGATTACATATATCAAGTACAATATAATAATTATAATGACTTCATGGAGAATTACCATATTAGAAAAAGCTTTTTCTCAATTTAAAAGCATAATGGGTATATTTCCCTAAATTACAGAGTTCATGGACATTGTGAACACCTAATAATTGTACAAATTTAAAAACAGATGGCTTTTGCCAGTAATATATCTTGATATATTTTTTTTCGAAGCTTTTTCAAAATGTGGACAAATTAAAAGAAAGGGATATTCATCCTCTACTTCACTTTTACACATTCTACACATTCTACTCTCCCTAAGTATTTTTTATGTCTTTCTGTCTAAATTTCCAGATTATGAGATAAAAGCCTAAGAAAAACTGTCTATTATATGTTTGTAAATATTACATTTTGATTAATAATTGATTTCTTCCATTAGATTTTGAACACACATGTCAGTCAATCTTTGTTTTATAATTAAGAGAAAAATTCTACAACTTGCTCTATCTTGTTCACATCACAGATATCCTAACCCAATTTCATACAATTTTTGTTTAATAAAAAAGATTCAATTTTTCTTACTGCTTTTCATTCTGTCACAGTTATCACATAGTTCATAATAACAGTTTTTTATTATACAATTTTCAGTAACTAAAACCTTGAACTAGAATTTGAACACACACAATCGAGTAATTTTCATAGGTAGCCTTCCAGTTTTTAAATACAGTGAAGAAGAGTTTGTGTTTTTCCTCACACCTAAAACAGATTTTATAAACTCCAACTGCACTTTTTCTACGTCGCTAGCATTATGACTATCCAAACCTCACAACCATAGTTTAAAATAATTGTTACATAGGTGTCAAAAAGTGACAAAATGGTTTCTGTATTAAGACACATACTTTTAACTTTTGATTTTAATGCAAACATGGCCTTCCATCCTTGGGATGCTAGTTGCTTTTGTGTACAATTGTAATTACCATTAGTATTCAGTAACACACCCAGGTGAACAAACTTATCAACAAGTTCAATTGGGTGCCCATTAATATTCCATTTTTCTGTTGGCTTGATTTTACCTCCGTTTCTAAAAATAACAATTTTTGTTTTCTACACTAACAGAAAGATACCTGCGAGTTGTGTATTCGTATAATGTATCAGTTACTACCTATGTTTACGTCTTAGGTTTGACGCGGCGCGGCGAAAGCTTGAAGTTTTGGGCTTATTACCGGAGAAAACGTCTCCTGTCTACTAATAATTTTCCTCTTATCTTGTAACGATTTCTGTGAGCATTTTCACGTACTTAACTGCCTATTTTCAGAACCTGAGGATTGGATTACCATAAATTTTCTATCATCTTCGTATGTAACGATATATATATATATATATATATATATATATATATATATATATATATATATATATATATATATATATATATATATATATATATGGGATATATACGAGATAATCAAGTAATTTACACATTTGTTCTGAAATTGAGCCCTTTACAATATTAATTACAGACTAATTCCATCAGATACTCATTCAATGTTCAATTAAATTTATTTTGATAAGTCTTGTAAGTTTTGTACTCTTCACGCCTTTTAGCATCCTCGCAAGCCAGGGGTCCTGAGTCAACACGTTGCCGTTGGACCTCTGGCATATTTCATTCAATATTTGTGGGCTGACTGTAGCGGCGTCTTCCGGAAAAATTACAAATCTTGATTGTTTTTCTTATCTCTCAACCAATCACATTAAGCCATTCTATGATAAACAACTTGTAACACGTGCATTTGATGTGTCAACTGAATCCTTGTCTAAGTATTTATGAAAGCTCATCATTTGATCGGTGCTTCTCAATGAGAGAAGCAAGCCCACGATTATTGAATGAAATATGCCAGGGGTCCAACGGCAACGTGTTGACTCAGGACCCCTGGCTTGCGAGGATGGCCTTTTAGACATTCTTAGAAGGTTTTCATTTAATCTAAATTTATTAATCACAGTACTTCTTTTTATGAAATCTGTAAAACACCGAATATTCGAATCTTATATATATATATATATATATATATATATATATATATATATATATATATATATATATATATATATATATATATATATATATATATATATATATATATATATATATCTATCTATCTATCTATCTATCTATCTATCTATATATATATATATAGTGAATATAAATAAGTTTCATCATTTCAACAAAAAAGTTAATAAGTATGTTGTATGTGAAGAATCCTTTACACCCCAGATTTTGTAACATACAAAATACTGTTAATACACTTAAGTTTACCGAAATTATTTCATCCTCAAATTTTAAATCTTTAAAGTCTCTGTAAGTCAATATAAAAAATAAACGATGCAGTCTGTCCTCCATAATTTTTATGTCTTCATTTCTTTCCTTTCTGTTTTCATTGCATGTTTGTTGATATATATTATGCCTCTCTTTTAAGTTATTGTATCATATATTTAGCATGTATTCATTTTTTCACGTTTGAACTATGACGACTTATTATATAAACTGTACCTCGTGTACCATTGGTTTTGGTATGAGTATAATGAATGAACTTGAAGAAAAAAAAGTTGCTTGACAACATACACAAGTGATTTGTTAACATAAATAAAGTGCATGCCAACTTAGTTAATATGATTTAAGTTGCTTGTCAAACACTTAGAAATTGAATCTTGTGAATTTATTTTATATTTATTTATTTTTGATTTTCTTTATTATTATTGTTTTTTTTTTAATTTCAGAAGAAAAATTCAAGAGTGGCGAAAATACTTTTGCTATTCTCTTGCTATACCCTTCAACTCAACATTTAGATACATCGACTACATTTTATCAATTAGCAATAATTACTTTAATTTAATCAGTATTTTATTATGAAAAGTCAATTTATTATAATACAAGCAAAATCTGCTGTGTGCTGTTTGTCATGATCGGTAATACAATAATTACTTTCATTCATATGTCCACTCGATATTTCCCAGTGAACTCGAAATAAAAGACAGTATAGAATCTACCACATCTGTTTTACATTTGGAGTTTTACTGACTATAGATGAATGGGAAACTAATAATTGTATGATAAACGATATGACTTCAGCTTTTCCATCGTCAACTTCCCTTATTTATGTAGCATTTCATCAACTTTATTTGGTGTTTTTATCTCCCAACTGATTTAATACGCTAGAACATGCTCTGAATTTGATCAATTTTTAATACGAGGCAATTAAAGCTACTGACAAATAAGTCGATGTTACATTGATTTCAACAACCCTGTTTTAAGTCAGCTTTTTGCAAATTCTACGGTCGTTATAATGACCTTGTTTGTAAATACATCCTATCGTTGGGTCGTATTTTGTCTCACATGTTTCGAACATTTGTTACGTCATTGTCTTTGTACTAAATTTGACTACGATTACAACGTCTACACGCTCAATGGGATATATCGAATGAAATATAAATGAAAATAATTATTGATAATTGATAAAGCGTCATCAAAATACCTAATTATCGAAATGAAGGCCACAACAAGAGATTCTTTTTCTGCTTCATATGAATACACAAAAAAGGTCTGCTTATAATTAATGGGGCACAATTAGTACTAATGGGATTTCAAATAGATCATTGGAAAACTTCGTCCCCAAGACTACATAGATTTTATCAAACATCTTTTTGTAATTGAATTTTTTATTTAATCAAAAACAACGATATCAAATTTGTATGATATAAAATCTTTGTAAACACAGTACATAGAGTAAATACTCTAATTCAAATCATTATTATATTATATGTTCGAACAGCTTTTGCCAAAAACTTTATAAGCAATAGGTCTTTGTTGCTATAAATCTTACTTTATATCATCAGGCCATACACGAAGAAAATTTTGCCATCATGGATATACAAGACAATCCGTCGTCATTATTAGAATCAGAAGCGGATGATTCTAGTTCCCAGGACCGACCGGTTTGGAGTCGAAAAATAGAATACCTTTTATCTCTATTAGGTTACAGCGTGGGACTGGGTAATATCTGGAGATTCCCATATCTTTGTATGAGAAATGGAGGAGGTATGTATTCTATGCATGTAAGAAACCACTGGTCGTAATCTTCACCTTTTTCATGCTCAAAGAGAAACTTCATTCCCCTCAAAAAGTTTAATGAAATAATGGAATCACCTTGTCTGTCCGTCTATATGACATCGAAGGGAAGTTATGTTCAGTGTCCAGCTTATTTCCAGGGATGTCCATTCCAAACTGCCGTCTTCCCGCAACTAGGAGTACGTAGTTTGAAGCATGCTGTAAATGCTTCATCTGACCTACAACATTTGCTTTACTGACTTTGCTTAAGCTAGTCTTTTTCTTTTTTTCTGCAAGTGGTATCCAAAATACATTTAATTATATAGTCCATTTACGGATCTGTTTTTCGATATAAAAACCAAGCATATACACTTAATTTCCATCGGATTGAAACGTTCAACTTTCATTTATATATGACGGTAAAAGGTGTGGTTGATGATTTTAAAGAATTTGACTGTGTGAAAGTGGACGAGACTTTTTCTTTTTTGGGGGTGGGGATGGGGGGTTGCCTCCCTTCCCTTTTTGATAAAGGTTGCTACGGGTCTGTCTTGTGTTTATTATTATATCTCTCCACTATGATCCTCGAGAAAATAAATCACTTGTCACTGACTGTGTACAGAAATATTTCTGGCTGAATAATTTCTGCCTTGCCGCTTTAAGATTGATCGACCCAATATATTTCTGTAGACATTCAGTAACAAAGTTAATAAGTAAAACTGGTGTTTGTATATGGTATGATTAGAGGCTAATATCACTCAGACATTTTATGCTAAAATTGATTGATTGATTTAATTAAGGACATTTTTTGGACACATTTCTAGCTTAGGCCAATTTAAAATAATGTTTGTTTTCCCTCACCCGACTTAGGATGAAAAAATTGGGTCGGTAGGTAGGTGGGAAATGTTTTTCTCCAGAAAATTTCAACATCAATGCTAGATTTTCAAAATATATTTTGCGGAATGCATAAAAAATGTTTCCTGGAGATTGAAAAAATTTTTAAGTCGGGCCATTTGTAGCCAGTCGGTCGGGAGAGGGCAACAAAACGATTTTTTAAAGGTGGCCTTATCCCAAGTGATAAAAAAAACCTTCTCACTGTCTTTAAATGTTTTTCACCGTTTGCTTGCATTGGATACTTCATCTGACTATATTTTAAGTGACTCGGATGAAGGATCTTTACAGAACTTAATTTTTTATTTTAACGAAATTAATGTTGGTCTGTTGATGTTTTGATCATGTTGGAGTTATTAGTTCTCCAAGGGCAACTCTATTTTTTAACTTATTTAAAAGTTATCAATTGACATATAAAACTAATGCGTCTGTCATAAAAAAAGTGTAATAAAAGTTTCTGAACAGGAAAATCTTAGCTCAATTCTTCGTGATTGTGATTAAGCATTAAGATAATATTACAATACATATAAGAACTGTAAAACAACTTTTCTTTGGAGTGCGACTAAATTCTGCGAAAACTGGGAGATTGTAAGAGTTGCTAGTTTTAAAGTATTAAAACGAATGTTTCCTGCTTAGTAGTGAAGCTATTAAAAATTTTAACATGCAAATCTTCGTTGACGTGTGACGAAATGGCGAACAAAGAAGCTCTGAAAGAACTAAAAAAAAAAAAATAAATAAACAGAAAACACATGTGAAAAGCGATAAAATAATACAATAGTACATGTATATTGCAATTTGTAAATTTCAGGTGCCTTTTTGGTTCCGTTTTTTATCTTGCTGTTCACCAGCGGAGTTCCTCTTTACTTCTTGGAAGTGTCTCTTGGTCAGTTTACTGGAAAAAGCCCCATTGTAGTATGGTCCATCTCTCCCTTATTCAAAGGTACTGTTACATTTTTATGTTTCAATTCAAAAGATCCACATTTTCATGTTTTAATATTGCTCAGCATCTATCTGTCAATGCTTAAAGCATTCTAGTGAAATTAATTTGACTCTCCTCAAGAACGATGACCTGTTTTTTTAGTGAGAAATTATATTCTGAAGAAAGATCGGGCAGCTTTACTATTAATATCTCCTATGTGGAAACGTTCCAAATTTCTTTTTTATACAGTAAATTTTCCAACCAATACATATAGTGTCTGTGTTGTTCTTATCAATAGTGAAAATTACTAGTACTTTATATAAAATAAAATCAGAGAAGCATATTGAATGAATCAAAAGTTAAAAAAAATAATTTTCCTTTGATCTTTAAAACAAACAAATGTACCATAGAGTTTTTCATTGTTCTTTCAATATATTGATAGCTTTTTCGTTATACCAGTTTTTCCCTTGAAGTATGTTTATGGTCAATCATAAGATCTTTTAAGAGCGAAGGACCCTATCGTCACTTTTCTGTAAAGATAATTTTCTACCAAAAGATGAAGATAAAAATTAAAATTCAAAGTAGATTTAAAAAGCAAATCATTGTTAAGATATTGATTTTATAAAGGAAAGTTTGAGACTTTGTATTTCAGGGCTTGGATGGCTGATGATGACGATCTCCTTTTTGGTGGCTTGGTACTTCAACTTAGTCATTGCTTGGGTTCTCTATTATTTTGTCCATGCTTTCTTCCCCAAGATCCCATGGGCTACGTGTGATAATTGGTGGAACACAGAGCAATGCATCGTCAGCCACAAAGATAGACTTAGAATAAACAATTCTTTTACAACAACGAACCAATCCACAACATCGGCTATTTTCAATGAAACTGAATCCCTTTCCACTGTTAATACTTCCTATGGTGGTCAGAATTTAACATACAACACGACGTCTGGTGGTCAGAATTTAACATATAATACGGCAGCATATGAATTTTGGCAGTATGTTCACGATTGTGTTCAATATTAATGTCAATATTAATGCGAGTCGATATCAAACGCTTATTATATGGTGATAGAACCAAAAATGTTCTCATTTCAGTTTTGTGTACAACATGTGAGTATCAACGAAAACTTTAAAAAAATCCAACATTTTTATGAATGCATCTTGTTGACCTAGAACACTAGTCTATACCATCTTCTCTATATAAACTATCTTGAGATATTTGCAGCTAAGGTGTCGATTGCAGTATTTTGCAGCGACAAAATTACCCGTTCTCTCCCAGGACTGTGCAATCAGAAGCTTTAGTGCTGTTCTGGAGAAAAATCCAAAAGTATGAAATCATAAACTCGTGGCATATTCTAGAAGTGGTGTTAATCAGATATGGATTCTCAAAAACACTCCAAAGAACTTTCAGATAATTTAAAATATTTAAAATCACCTAATTTTTCAAAAGTCAGTTAACATCAAAACATAGGACTTTTCTTCACTTAATACGACCAATCCTCACGATAAATTAAAAACTGGGCGTTTTGATGTTATAGACAACTGCTTTTTCAATAAAAACGAACTCAGAAATTTTATCTTGTGATTGGTAATAAACAAAATTACTTTGTTAAAAATCACTCTGATTCTACACACCAGTGCTCTGAAGTTGATATTAAAAAGATACCGGAGATCCTCATTGACAACATCTATGTAATCATCGGAGACCAAGTCTTCCAACAAACTTTGGAAATTGTGATAGCCACTAATTGTGGGTCCTTTGTAACCAGTCGGTTTTTTAAAGAAGATTTATTAAAAAAACTCCTAAATGAGAAGAGGAAAACACTTGCTGTGGTCTTCAACTACACATTCAGATATATCGACGACGTTTTATCAATTAACAATAGTTAACAATAGTCACTCCATTGATATTCCAATCGATATATCCCAGTAAACTCGAAATAAAAGATATCACAGAGTCTGCCACACCTGTTCAATATTAGGATATTTTACTGACTATAGACGATAAGGGCCAACTAACAACTAAATTGTATGACAAACGAGATGACTTCAGCTTTTCCATGATCAACTTTCCTTATTTATGTAATTATATTCCGCTATCACATGTATATGGTGTTTAAGTCTCCCAACTTATTAGAAAACAAATTTTTAAACCAAGGCAGACTATTGATAAATAGGTTGATGTGACAGGGATTTCAACAACATAGTTGAAAGTTAACATTTGGTAAATTCTACAGTCGTTATATAATGACCTTGTTAGCAAACATAACAATACTTACGTCATATTTTGGCTGACATGATTCATACAAATTGTTAGGTCTTCGTTTTAAATTTGACTAAGGAATATTACGTCTGCCTGATCAATACATAAGGCTCACGGCGGTCGACATGGAAAACTTTCTTCTCCTAGGCACATGATCCTACTTCTGAAATCTACGGGGGTCCGTGTTTTATGCCCAGCTCACAGATTTGAATTGTTTGTAGATTTATTTAGATCGATCACTGTTCGTTATCTTAACCTTTTCACCTCAATCAATTAAAGGGCTATATCTATAATTCTGGAAGACCTATAGTTTAAATATAAGCTTCCTGTAATAGGTACAATTCTTGAGAAGCATAATTATCAGTTTTTAAATAAAATGTTATATGCTATTATGAAAGTAGTCCCAGCCACATGCCAATATGTTAAAAATAGAACCTGTAAAAGGTAGGGAGTCCACCACATGATCGTTTAGGCAATTTTCAGAACCCACCACATCCCATTTATACCCCCCCCCCCCCGCCAGTGTGCGTAACAACATCCTTGGGAGACTTAAGACTTCCTATTCAATATTTGACCGGTCACGGTAGCCTGGTGGTAGCGCGCTCGCTTCGTGATCGGGAGGCCCGGGTTCGATTCTCGTTCACCGCGCCGCGTCAAACCTAAGACGTAATCATAGGTAGTGGCTGTTCCTTCGCCAAGCGCCCGGCACTAGAAGTGAAAGTCTCGGGTCTTTCGGACGAGACCTTAAAAACCAAGGCCCCGTGTCACGGTAGGCATTTGCACGATAAAGAACCCTCACTGCTCAATGGCCCTAAGTGCCGAGTATAGGTCTAAATTTGAAGCCCTTCACTGGCATACGGTGGCGTCTCTGTAAGAGTGAAAAATTCTTGAATGGGACGTTAACAACATACAATCAATCAATCAATAATATTTATATGAATTCTTTTGTTAAACTCTTTTCAGCAAAATAAAAAGGGTGCATCTCATGAACCCCCTCTCTGGATCGGCCCTTGAAAACAATCGTGATTAAATTAAGGCATTTTGCCCTGACGACCTGTTTAAAGATGTACACGCTATAACTTGCGTCAGTTAAAAATAAAGTTGGAAATTGATTTATTTTGTTTACCAAATAAAGTTACGAAATTTTTGTAAATTACACAATTGGAAATGAACGCATTATAAAGATCTCAAATTATAATTATTTATTATCCTACTAGGAAAGTTATGCCTCTATTTCAAATCATGCATCATGTGACACTGTCACTACTTTTAGATTGATAAACAAAATTGGCGTCACGAAAACGAGGTAGGCTGTTTGGTATACAAAATAACTTTTGAAATGGATGGCATACGTTTTATGCTTAAAGATACTTATCTTTGAAAACAACCAGTATTAACCATCTACTCTGTAATGACAGATATTAAGTTTTATTCAAATCGTAATCAAAATGCGACGTACCTCGTTGTCTATGATTTCCCGCAGACATGCGTGTCTATATACTGTTTACGCACTTCCTTCATCAATATTCATGAACAGGTTGAATTCTTCCTTGCAGATGTTGCTTAATTGTTTTGTAATAACAAAGACTTATTTAGTAAATTTTGTGGAAAGTAATTATTCTTTATTACACATCATGTTTCTCAAATCATTTAATCATTTTGTTTCACATAAAAAGTCGCGTGTATATCTTTAAAACTACAATATGTTTTTCAGAACAAATCTTCCACAAATGATATAAAAATGTAATTATTCAGTGTCTCTGTCAATATCAAATCAAGGTCAACCGTGATGGTTTCATTTAATGTATTTCACTCTGATTTAATTAACTATCTGTGAATATTTTATATATTTGTACTTGATCAACAATAACGGGGCTAAATAAAACAGTAAACAAAACTGTGGACACAGACGGACAAACAGACTACATTAATTTATAGACAGAATTTTTACTTCAAAATCCAGCCAAATATCAATTTTTCATTAAAAAAAAGTATCATTATCTTTCATTCTATAGATTTAAATTACATTTGACTCGAATAATACAACAATGAAATAAGTAATCATAATCTTACACTTACCTCATACTAATTACAGAACACTTGGAGACATGTAGATGGATAGGCAGACATCCATCAGTTTTCGAACCAATTTTATTTCAATAGTATGATGGATGTGAGTGAAATATGTGCCAAATGAGACATTATGATAAAATACATATTCCCAGTAAAAAAGATAAGAAAATTGAATTTAATGAAGGATATGATTTGACAAAGGGGAAAAACACGAACTCCTAAAAAAATGAAGTTAGGTCAGGTGCCTTCGAGGAACAAGCACCCTTTCATGTCCACCGTGAACCTTCCCTACTGACCAGGTAAACGGAGTAATCTGTTGTCAAAACTAGTATAAAATGGTCTAACAATTAGTAAGACATACTAAGTATGTACGTCAAAATTCCACACAAGGACAGGTTTTATTAATAAAGACCATAGGATTTTCGAAATCGGACTTTAAACAAGACTTATGAAAGTCCTGTTGTCAGTAGCCTGTCCCTATGTTAACTCGGAACATGCTCTGACATACCGAATAAGTTCAGATACATAAACACCATATGTGGGTTATTTTGGAATATTACTGCATAGAAAAGCTGAAGTCATCACGTTTGTCGTGTAGTGTAGTTAGTTTCCCAAAAGATTTATAGTCGGTAAAACATCCAAATGTGAAAGACTGTATTGTCTTTTATTTCGAATTAATGGGATATATCGATTCGACATATGATTAAAAATATATAATAAATTGATATAACATCTTCGATATATGAAATTGTCGAATTGAAGGCAAAATAAAAGTTTTCTTTTTCTAATGTAGATGTTTAGAACTAACTCTGCTTCGTTAACATATAAAACAGGTCATCTAATTAAGGAGCATAATTTGTGCACGTTGAAATTCCAGCAGATTGTTGGAAGACCTTTTCTCCAACCACTATATAGGTACTGTCGAAGAGGATCTCAAGCATCTATTCATTTAATGTCAGAATTCCGGTATATGGAATCGGAATGAATTTTAAGGATTAACTCTGTAGAATACCTATCACAAGATATGACAATTTCGGAATTAAAGTTTTTATTGAAAGAGCATTTGTATAGGATATCAAGAAAATGAAACAAGGAGCCTTGTCCAAGACATTCAATTATACAATAATATACAACAAAAGTCGTGTGTAGTTCGACACGAAGTTGTGCAGTCTTGCTTGTGTAATATGCAATCATCTACAAAATACTGCAAGGAACAACCAAACTGACCATATTTCAAGATGTTGTTTCTTTGAAAGGTGCCTTAAGTCAGTGTTCAAATGTAAGCAAGAAGTATTATTTTTATATGAGTCTCACTTGTCTGCACACAAAATTGGACTCTGAAGTTTCTTTTTAAAAATCAAGAAAAAAATTTGTTAAAAACATTACTTTTTTTCCAATCATTTTCTTGTTATTCATATTTCTCAAACCATTTAATTGTAGATATAATGTTCTTAGACGATCAGATGGCATAGAGTATCCGGGTTCCGTTCAGTGGCATCTCGTTTTGGTTCTGCTTGCTTCCTGGATGTTGACATTTGCATGCCTTATTAAAGGTATACATTCAGTTGGAAAGGTGAGTTCGACTTGCATTAAGATGCTTTCAATTTTTGTATGCTTTCTTTTTTTTCTTTTGATTGCAATATGAAAGTTATTATCGGAGGAAAAAATTATCAGTTTAAAATAGTGAATAATGAGTTCAAAATTTTATCAAGATGCTGATTGGAGAAAATACTGATTTTTTCACTTAGGTTGTGTATGTGACGGTTATTTTTCCGTATGTACTATTGACAATTCTCCTAATACGTGGTGTGACTCTAGATGGTGCAATCGATGGGATACTTTTCTACCTAAACCCAGACTTCACAAAACTTCTACATTTTCAAGTAAGAAATATGTGTCTTAATTTAATAAAGGAGAACATTTGATAAAATAAAACACTTTTTTGAAGATTTTAAAATCATTCTTAAATTGATTGAAAAGACATGATATGTACTTAAATGTAAAATATGTCTTTTCAAACGTATTTATATTCAGGTGTGGCTAGAAGCAGGTTTGCAGGTTTTCTTTTCTCTCGGTCCTGCTTGGGGAGGACTCATCACAATGTCAAGTTACAATAAGTTTAACAACAAGTGCATTCAGTAAGTAATCTGTGTTACAGTTTAGGAACTTAAATCAACCTGAAATACATTAAATATGATATTGCATGTGCTTTTTAACACAGCAGGACTTTATTTTCAAAGGGGGACTATTGTCCTTAAATAAGAACCATTGATTTATCTTTATTACCAAAGGGGTAAAACTTTAATACAAAAGGACTATATTTTTATATTAATTAGAGTACAATTTCCTTACAATAGGACTAATATGTTGTTACTTTGTTTATTTACCATTCTCCATTAGGGACGCTTGGTATGGTACTTTGGCCGATGGTCTGACAAGTTTCTACGCTGGATTTGTTGTCTTCTCCATCTTAGGTTTCATGGCCAAAGACGTTGGTGTGACAATGGAAGAAATTTCAAACTTTTCAACAGGTGGGTTTAGAAAAGTAGAGTTTTCATCAAAGCAATGACCTTTAATGACCTTCGTAATGCAGATTAATAAATATGTCGCTCTCCATTCAGGACCTGGACTAGTATTTGTGGCGTACCCAGAAGTTATAACGAAACTCCCGATGCCACATCTGTGGGGGGTCCTGTTTTTCCTCATGTTGATAACTGTTGGAGTTGACACCCAGGTGACTGAACAGAATGTTTACTAAATCCGCAGATCAAGATCGTATTAGGGTTATTTCTTATACAAAAATCTCGAGTGGAATATATTTTCGCAAAATGTATTTTTTGCTCAAAAGCAAACTGATGGAGATATATTAATTGTTAAGTCAATTTCAATTTCAGTTTGGAATGTTTGAGACGGTTGCAAGTGGACTAGCAGACAAATATCCCAAGCAGTTGAGCTCTCGGAAAATCTTGACAACGGCCATTTTGTGTCTTTTTCTCTTTGTCTTAGGAATTCCACTCACAACTAATGTAAGTTTTAAGTCAGTCAAACAAGTTTATTTGCATTATTACTTGCATATCTTCACTTTTTGATTAGGACTCATTGATTCAAATGCTGATTGGGATACAAGCACAAGTGTTTTTTTATACTTTAGAAAATATATATATTGAGCCTATTTGAAATTTGCAAAATATATATGTTAAATATAAATAGTATCTCTCAGTAATTATCCCTCTGTTTCTTTTCTTTAAGGAGGTATATATGTCTTCCAGTTAATAGACTGTTATGTTGCCACTTTCTGTAACCCCTCTATATTTTTTTATTTAGGGAGGTATATATGTCTTCCAGTAAATAGACTGTTATGTTGCCACTTTCTGTAACACCTCTATATTTTTTTCTTTAGGGAGGTATATATGTCTTCCAGTTAATAGACTGTTATGTTGCCACTTTCTGTAACCCCTCTGTATCTTTTCTTTAGGGAGGTATATATATGTCTTAAATTCCAGTTAATTGTCTGTTATGTTGCCACTTTCTGTAACTCTTCTATATCTTTTCTTTAGGGAGGTATATATGTCTTCCAGTTAGTAGACTGGTACGTTGCCACTTTCTGTATCTCATTTGCATCATTCCTAGAATGTGTCATTATATCATGGATCTATGGTAAGTATTACATGAATACAATTTTTTTTAGAAAGGGGATTACTGTAAAAAAAAACATTCTTGCTATCATTAACAACTAAGAATAATAACATGATTTAACAGGAGCTGAACGTTTCAGTCGAGATGTAGAGCTGATGATAGGAAGACCTATCCCCCTCACCATGAGGATAAGCTGGTGCATTATCACCCCTTTATTCATGATGGTAAAAATTAGCATGGCTTTTAATATATTTACTTAACAGAGATCAGCAAAATAATGAATTATTGTGGGGGAAAAAATTTGCCAGATGACAAAATTTTATGAAGTATCTACATGTTATTCATGTCCAATGCAACACAAATTATAAGAGAGCATAGATGACGGACTCTCTCTATATTTGCTTGTGTACTTATGCAATGTTTGCAAGTGGAATAGCATCATGTCATATTTATTTGTCAGAGAGAACAGTAGAACTCTAACCTAGTGTTTCAACTCCTTGTCCTCTTGTTACGTTACCTCCTGGGAAATATCTAGCAGCTTTGTTACACTTTAAAACCGATATTTTTTTATATTCTGTCAAATTAAGATTTTAAACTATACTTAAGACATAGCAAAGCATTTGAATCCTGACTTGGAGAGATCAAGTTTGTGGAATTTCATGAAATACATGTATCTGGACACATATTGAATACAAGTAATCATTTGTACGAAGATTTTAGATTTTTTTTCGGATTTCTTTGTGATAAAATATTTTTTTTACGAAAAACTTACGGTTAGTAGGTTTACAATGACTTCATGAGTACATACATATTTGTTATTTGTTTTTTCCTTGTCAAGGTTTTATTTCTGATGTCAATGATTATGTATGCCCCACCAAACTCAGCTAGTTATACGTATCCAGAATTCGCCATTGGAATCGGCCAATTTTTCGCCATACTCCCTCTGTTACCAATACCAGTGCTGATGATTTGGGAAATCCTGCGAACAAAAGGTTCACTCATTCAGGTAACATGGAATTCAAAGCCCATAATAATGGACACTTTTTAAAAATTAATCATCTGTAGGCTTAATATCTTTGAATTTACATTAACAAAACCATGCAGTACAGATACATATATCAGGGTCCTCCATCAGCTGTTTTACTGTGTCGGGGCCGACACAGTAAAATTTTCCCCAACATAGTAACAATTCAAATTTTATGCGTGCGACACAGTAAAAATTTTGCGACACAGTAAGATCCCTGATAATCAGAAAATCCGAACATAAATTTTCTATAACTGAAACTTTAATCAAACAAATCTACCGTCTTTCAATTTTTAATGCAGAGCATTTGATTATCTCTTAATTAGGGCACATTGTCTTGCTTCACCTTGCATTATCAATTATGTCCTAGACCCTCGCTGAATTTTACGCATGAAGGACAAAGGCAAATCATGTGTTTTCACACTTCCATGTAACCGTATAATTGCTAAATGCATTTTTAAATATTATTTAAATTTATATATATTAAATATATTTCTTCACTTCAGAAACACGTCTCTAGAATAATGATGGTACTGTGAGTCAAACATCATAACGTAAATTAATTGATGTGCATGTATTGTTGAAGAATACAAATATCAAGGTTTAATATTTACAACTTGTAAATACTTATACAAGTATATTATATAAGTATTTTTCTTAGAATCGTATTTTTTTTTAAAGTTGTGGTGTGTGTGTGGGGGGGGGGGGGGGAGGGGGGGAGGGGGGGTGTTCATGCAGTTTGTTTGTGTTAAAGTATGTACATTATTATATATAATTGGAGACATTCTAATTGTTTTCAATATCCATTTATTATTTTTTTTATTAATATGTACGATCATACCATTTGTGTAAAGAATAAGTGACTCAAAATAGTTGTGTGTAGTTGTATGCTTGTGTAATTATAATGAATAGTGGTTCAGTTGCGAATTTGATCGCGAATATACCGCATATATATATGGGGCTTGGCGAAAAGTCTGCAACACAGTAAATTTTCAAATGATGGAGAACCCTGCATATATACATGTATATAATGATTTTTCAAGCTTCACGATGTGTCATTCATTTAATTTATATATGAATATTCATTTTCAAATATCAAAATATGACGTAATCTTCTTGGAAGTAAATAGATGCTAGAATCTAATAGCACTAGTCAAAGGGACAAGAGATACGTTTGTGATGTCTGCAATATTAAATTTTATAAGAAATCCAATCTTACTAGTCATAACAACTTCATTTCTTTTCAAAAGCTTATTTTCATTTTTTTTCTTTTCATATTCAGAGAATAAAGGCTCTTGTACGCCCGGATTCCAGCTGGGGACCTAACAGTAAACGTCACTGGCAGACGTACAAAATGTATGAATATAAGGGTGGACTAATAAACAGAATGAAAGTGAATCTACTAGGAGATAGTAAACATTCTGATGTTGGAAACTGAAATAGAACTTGCATTGTACTCTCAGGAACCTATAAACAATAATGGACGTTGTTTTTTTTTTAAATTAGTTTCAATTCACCCAAATCAATTTAGGTTACTTTTACTATCTATATCCGTCCGTCGTTGTGCGGCATCGAAACAACAAATCCGAATAAATTTTGCTGATAGTATCTATCGTATCGGTAACCTCTTTTCCTCCCGGTGCCTGAAAGATGTGGTCGAAACCATTAAAATGAATACAGTTCGTAGAAATTTTCTTCTTTACTCATAAGCATCAAACAAATGGCATAATTGAAATACGTAATGAGCCCTCTACCAATGTTGTAAAATTCATATCCCCAACTGAGTGCAGAGCTTGGGTCTTATGGCAGAATTACGTAACAAGCAAATTTTGTCAATCAAAATAAAGTATTAGATATGTAATATGTATTCTCTTTAAGCACACTACGTTTTATTTTTTGTAAATGTCTTAATTTTTTCATAGTTTAACGGTATCTTAACAATTGTGTCAAATTTACATTAGTTTTTATATTTGATGTAAATCATTTCTTTGTTGTCAGACAGGTGTAAATCAATTATTAATGCATACACCTGCAGGGGTGGGGTAATTGATAAAAGTAATTGTAATTGAGTGTAATTAATTACATTTTTCAAAGTAATTGGAAGTAATTTGTAATTGACCATTTTTCAATTACTTGTAATTGAATATGATTAATTACAATGAAAAAAATATGTAATTTCAATTACTTTTCAATTACATTTCAATTACTTTACATAATACATGTACACAATATGTTTATTTAATAGGGAAATATTTTCAACGCAGTCACATTTAACAGTTATTTTAATTTATTCAAAGAAGCCCTTCTGTTTTAGGCTCACCTGAGCCGAAGGCTCAAGTGAGCTTTTCTGATCAAAGAGTGTCCGGCGTCTGTCTGTCGTCTGAAGTCCGTAAACTTTTCACATTTTCGACTTCTTCTCAAGAACCACAGGGCCAATTTCAACCAAACTTTCCAGAAAGCATCCTTGGGTGAAGGGGATTAATGTTTGTTCATAGGAAGTGCTGTGCCCCCTTTCAAGGGGAGATAATTAAGAATTCGTGAAAATTTGGTGGCATCTTTTAAAAATCTTCTTCTCAAGAACTACTGGACAAGAAAAGATGAAACTTATGTGAAAGCTTCATTACATACTGTAAATTTAAGTTTGTTCATACTATGACCCGAGGGGGTAGGGTTGGACCGCAAGAGGGGGTCGAAGTTTTACATAGGAATATATAGGAAATGTCTTTAAAAATCTTCTTCTTAAGAACAGCAAAGCTATGATTAGTCATATTATAATAGAAGTATCCTCAGGTAGTCTAGATTCAAGTTTGTTCAAATCAAGGCAGGGCCTCAACAGGGGGTTAAAGTTTTACATAGTTTTATATATGTGTTAAGGAGCATTGATTAAAACGCATTGAAGACCTCAAATAATAGAATGACCTGATAACCCTTGGAATGGACTAGCCAGACTAAAGGGTATATATGGCAAAGCTTTGGGAAAGTCAGGCATTCAGAAGGTAGCTGAAGAAGTCGGATGCTGAAACAGCAATAAAGAAGTTAAGGTATTCCATCCCTAATAGCAACAAAGTCAATGAAACTGAATACATAACAGATGTGTAGGTGTTTAAGGGGATTGGCAACGTTTCTTGTTTATGGACAGGATTATCCAGTAATCTATAACAGATTACTAATGTGCTTTTACATACAATAACTGACTCAACCAGCATACCTTTCCATGCCATTAATTTCAAAATTGCTCAACATATACGTTTGTCATTTAATATTGGTTTCAATATAAATTAAGAAATAAGTTGATATCATTATTTGTGAAGGAGCAAATTTTGATTAAGTAAGATATGTAATTAACAATGATATGATACACATTATTGTATGTTAATTTTATATGGTATCCTGATAAAAATGAAATATTTACCAATATTTACAAGGATAATGTACCTCTTTATGCATCTCTTTACTATTTATAAGTTACTGCCCTTTGTTTCACTTTCTTCAATTATTTAAAAAAATAAATAAAGGCCGTTGTAAATTGCCCATTTAATTACTCATGCTTTTAAGGTAAACACAAAGGTTTCCAATGATTTTCTTATTGCATGTCACCCTTGCTTTGCCTTCATTTGTTCTCTCAGAGAGCAGCTGGAACACACCATTTTCCGAGTCTCTTTTATAAGCCAATAAAAGGTGTGATAAAGAAAGTCCAGACTTTGCAATACTTGTCATCATCAATTTGGAAATGACAGTATTGTCCACTAAGCATATTAGTGATGAACTGTTCTTCTGTACTCTCTCATGATATTGAATAACATTGATGTATGAGTCAAGTGAAAAACTGTGTTGAAGAAAGAGATCCTCTGAGAAGGTCTGAGAATTTACAAGTTGTAGGAGAGATTTTGCATCAGATGCTGCATCATGTGCACAGTAGTATGTTTGAAGGAGACATTTTACCAAATCAGTCTGTTTGTAAGAGGAGAGTCCGGGCACACTTTTCCTAAACAGTGGAAGAGTATCAACAAATGCTTGAATAACTTTCCCGGCACCATCCTTAAGTTTGTTTCCTATTAACGCACGGCAAAAGACATTTGCATCAAATCTAGCATTATGAGCCATTAACACTATGGGCTTGTGAATTGTAGACAACCAATGCAAAATGTTCCGAAGTCCTTCACTTGGGGATGTTGCTTGAACTGGTTGACCTTCCTTATACATCTGGTTCCCAGCAACAGTAAGACCAGTCAAAGCGAAAGCACTAGTTGAAATTCGTTTGGAAGGTAGAAGATACTCGCTGAAACTGTGTTCGTCAGTGTATGCCGCCCCAATTTGAGTGATTTCACAATCTTGAGCTGTGAAGTACAGAAATTTTTTTTACACATAAGTCTATTAATATATCGTGCATATATTTGTATTTGCTTAGAAAAAATTCTTGAAATAATTAAAATAAGATTAATTTCTAATACCTTCAATTGCAATACATGTAGTTTTATTACAAAACATACCAAGTCCAGTAGTTTCCAAATCAAATGACACATATGCATAATCCATTCCAAGTTTCAGTACTGTGCAGGTTGGTTCAGTTGTAGGTGGTGGTATTTCGCAAACATCATCACTACATATGTTGTTATTCATGTCAACACCAGTTTCATAAGATATTCCTTCTCTTACTTCACAAGTTTTCTGATGATTAATTTGTTGCTCCTTTTTCTCTCTCCTCCTTTTGAACTCCACTGTGCTTTCTCTTTCTTTTGCCTTCTCTCTCTTTTTGTCATAATCCTTTGAAATTTTTTTTGTAATTTCTCCAGGAGATAGCATCACAGATTGACACACCTGCAATGAATACAATATATATATATATATATATATATATATATATATATATATATATATATATATATATATATATATATATATATATATATATATATATATATCAATTCAATGGAATTTTCAAAAAAAAAAAATAATGTAAAATGTCATATAATTGTGGTTTTATTTTTACTTATTTCAAAAAAACTTACTTCAGAAACATATCCATAACCCAAGTTTTTTTTTTTGTGCAATGGCGGCTGCAACTCGGTAGTCATTACTCTGTGATCCAGAATAGAAGTTCGATTTAGGAGCCTTGCTGGAAACTGTATTGTTGAGACTCTCGTTAGGCTGAGAACTACCTAAATAGGTTAACTTATCAGCATCACTTGCGTATTTATTCAGCAAATCCATAAGGGAAATCTTTAAATTTCCATCACAAAGGTACCTGCTGTAGGGAAGATTTTTGGGCTTGTACTTCAGTGGATTCTGCAAATATCCACACCACGAACCACAATATGAATGGTCTCCAAATACATGTTTGCCTAGTGCCAATAAATTTGTCTTCATTTTATCCGCATCTTCTTGATGTTGTGATACACAGTATCGAAAACATTTCGATAAATGTGCAATTGTTTTTGGTGTGAGCTCCTTGAAATTCTTTGCTTTCCTGAAGTCATAAAGTTTATTTGTAAAGTCCTTGAGCAGATGGTTTCTGTCACATTGCTTTTTTAGGTCTGCTTTCACTTCTGCACAGGCTCTAGAAATTGTTGTTGAGTCATTGTCCATGATGATCGTTCCAACACTTACATCATTTCTTTCCAGATTTTTCAACATGGAAATACACATGTCTGCTTCCATAGCCTTGGAACTACCTTCCCAGTTCTTTCTACAATCATGGTCTTCCACACTGCACCCCTTCTTTGTTGCAAGGTCACACTTTCTACGGTATTTATTCCTAGTCGAAAATGCAATACATTTCCCAGTTTTCTTTCAAATAAAAGAGGCATGGCCTAAAAAATATATATATATAAACAAATTAACCATAAAATCCTATAAAGCTTATTATCAGGGAAACAAAATATGTCTGATTCAATTATTTATTACTTCAATCAATTTTTTTTAATTTTGAAAATGCTAAAAAACTTTATAAGCATATGCAAATATTCTATACTACCTGAAAAACTACATGTATATATTTACATTTCTTATAATTAAAAGTCTTCACAAATAGGAATTCAATTCATTTCCTCATGAACTCACATGAATGAACATGAATACTTCAATGGAATAAAAAAAAATAGAGAGAAATCTTTTTTTCACAAAAATAATCATTCAAAGCACATAATCTGTGACTAGTCATCAGATACGGTAAATAATATAAATATAAGAAATTAATATATTATTTGATAAGTCCTGAGGTACATGAACTACAAAGCTTCACGTCTGCGTATATTTATCATGAAGCACTAATGCATTCATGAAAATTGAAAGTATGAAGCATTACAGATATAATACATGAATTCTTAAAAATTAAATTTTCATTTCTTATAAATGTTTTTATCCAGAATCACAGATTGTTATATATTATAGAGTCAAATTATAAATGTGAAGTTCTTTATTTTGTAAAAAATTACCAGATAGACTACTGTAAGATTTCCAAGATCCACGTTTTTGCCAGCCACCATCAAATGATGCGGATACAGGAGACTCTCTGAAGTACAAGAAATAATGTATTATAATGTAGACAGTGTACAAATTTACATGTATATCTTGTCGGTGTAACAGAAATATCCTATTTTGTGCAATTGTCCATTATTATTGATACATGTAATGAAAAAAAAAATTATTCCATAATTTACATGATATTTGGATAAGTATACATTTCACTTTATATAAATCTCTCAAAAATTTGTTGTTTTTTTTTTGTATTACTCTGTTAATTCTCTTTCTCTAACAGCAGCATCAGAACAACTGGAACTAGAACTGTCCAAAAGGGACAAATACCCCCCGCTGGGTTTTTCAGAGAAAGTACCAAATCACTAATGTTTTCTAGATGTGAGAGGTGTTCACAATTTCCTTAAACATTTACAGTGAAAATTTAATTACTCATTATACATTTTTATACGTCCGTCTTACGACGGGACGTATTATGTTATAGCGTTCATGTTCGTCCGTCCATTAGCTTTTTCATGTCCGGCTCATAACTTTAATACTATTAGGCCTAGAATTATCAAACTTTGTCAGCTGATACATCTAGGGTAGAAGGTGTGTCGCACATTAAAACCAGGTCGCTCTGACATTTAATAAAGACGCTATGGCCAAATATGGAAAAATCATAACTAGAAAACCATTAGACTTAGAATCAAAAAACTATGTCTTTTAACTTTTAAATTACACAATCCCAAAAGATGTCAGAGTGTGGCAGTATCTTTATTAAAAAAGTTTTAAATCAAGAAAATACTACTCTTATTTTTTTCATTGTTCTTTACAGCAATCTGTAACAACAAAAATTCCACCTCTCCCATGGGTGTAATGATCAGGCACTGGTCGAGGAAAATTTTGATAGCAGAAAATTGCATGTCAAATTAGAGATAAATTAATGAGTTTAGTGTGAGGAGATAACTGGCAGAGCATCTCTGATCAAGCACATCTACATCTCTTGGGAAATGGGCAAAAGGAATCAGTCTCTTAATTAATTGCTTTTGTTGTATTGAATTGTTCTTGTTGGCTAGTCTTACTTTCAAGATAAATTTGATGTAATTAAAACTAATTTGATATTGTATATAATAATTAAAACTTATATGATATTCTATAATATAATTTAAACTAATTATTTATTGTACATTTTTTATTTGAATTTTTATATCTTTACAACAAATTGCAGACTGCCTTGTCTCGCTAAGATGTCATTTGAACAATTGAATCTAAACTGTTTATGATAATTTAACAATATTTGATGGGCGTATCATACTGTGGTGGGGCACTTTATTTAATGAATGAAACTAAGGTGCAGCCTCATAAAACATCAACACTAATAATTACAATGTTTTTTTATTACATTGAAAAAATAGTTTGCAACTATCTGCCATCTTTGTGAGACATGACACACTGCAAATTGATTGTTGAAAAACAAAATATCATAATTAATTATACAAAATCAAATTGATTTTAATACCTTTATTTCAAACTCATTTTAAAAATAAAAGGCTGGTTTTAGTAACTATGTATTTTGACAGACATAAATTACAATTAAGAGACTTAGACAACAGAGATCTTTATTTCTTTCTGCCCAATTCCCCTGAGACATAGATAAGACCTGCTTGATCAGAGATGCCCTAACAGCTTCCCACACTGAACTCATTAATTAATCTTTAACTGGATGCATGTCCACTCATTACTCCCAGGGGACAAATGGATTTACACTATCTGCTGTGTAATGTAAAAACTGTTTTTAATACTTTGTGTTTTTTTTTTATAGTTCTAATGAGTAGTTTTAAGCTGTAGTTCACATTTTTGTACAGATGTTCTAGATTCTATGTCTCAAACCTTAGACATGAACCCAAAATGACTAAGTCAATAAAAATTAAAAAAAAAAAAAACACCTGTAAAATGCAGAAAAATTATCAAATAATGTTGAAAATACCAGGTGCACATCTTCATATGGTAAATAATAAGTGTACAAATTTTCATACAAATCTATGCAATAGTCTCTGGGAACAGATCCAGACAAAACCACAAAATAAAAATGAAAAAAACACCTGTAAAATGCAAAATAATTATCCAATCATAATGAAAATACCAGGTGCACACCTTCATATGGTGAATAATAAGTGTACAAATTTTCAGACAAATCCTTCCAAAAGTTTCCAAGAAATGGTCCGGACAAAATCTCGTCTACAGACAGACGGACAGACAGACGGACATGCTGATTCCAATATACCCCCCCTAAACTTCGTTTGCGGGGGGTATAATGAGCAATTTCCTCTACAGCCTGACCTATTTCCCTCTCTCTTTTCTTGAGTGTTGTTTTGGAACAAGGGGGTATGTTCAGTGTAGACAATAGGTTGGATACTTTCCTTTCCCCTATACCACTGTGTAGCATACCTGAATTGCAAAACAACAAGTATGAAAAAAAATTCTGGAGTATTTTAAAAAAAAAAACATATTGTGCCATTATTTAAAATATATATTATTCCAAGGTATGTCAAACTAACATCTACATTAACATAGAATTATATATTTCTTGAGAAACATTGTTATACATTATACTGCACCTAAAGCTAACTTTGTGTTAACATCCCAAGTTTTTCTCCCCCACTGAGATTCCTTGGGCGCACTATGTCTTTTTCCCGTTGGCACAACTGTCTTTCCATCACACAGTTGACACCTGATGGTCAGTAAGCTGCCCAACCCGTAACGTATCTCATGCACTATATTTGTAATGTTTAAAGGTATAGTTGAATGGCAGACTGAACAACCTTCACAGAGTTTGTCTACAAGAAACCCCAACTCCACTATTGGTCTACCCTGCCTCCAACTGGTCCCCGTTTCACATTCATTCTCTCCATCTACTTCATCTAAACAATATTACATAAAGTATTACTATCTTCTGTCTTATTAGCACTGTTTGGTGATCCATTTATCGAGGCTTGGTCTCCATTATCGTCTTCAAATAATGACACTGGCTCATCGACATCGGGATTCTCAAGATTTTCATGACTTGTAGGTCTTGAAGAATACGAATGATCATTCACAATCTTTGTAACATTGTTTTCTATAAAGCAATCGATTCTTTTTTTCTTGGATTCTGATATATATCTACCTGTAGAAGCAGATCGGTATCGCTTTAGTTAGAATAATCTAACTGTGTCTCGGGACAGGCCCTCACCACAGTTAGAATGCCTCCCATATACCCGTAATGTAGCAGAAAATTGCAGAATCGCTTCGAAACGATTTTGGAGAAAATTAATGAAGTTGCATTGAAAATAACTGTCAAATTAATCATAACAAAC